AGGGGGGGAAAGTGCCTGCGTCTTATACGGCAAATACAAAAGCCCACCATGGCTCTCCGCTGCCCCTCCACCTTTGTATACATACCTTACCGCAGGAATACTCGGCCACTCCGTTCCCTTCCACCTCTTGGCGCCGTCTGAGACCAGAAAGCCCCGCTCTGCCTCGCACTGTATTTGGACGGTCTCTGCCTCGCGCTGCGATTGGCTGAGCGAAGAGGCGCGTGCCTTCGCTCGCTCCCGCGCTGGATAAAAGGTCATGGGACTCCGTAAAGAAAGACATTTACCGCCACCAGAGGGCGACACACCTGACTGATGTTACTTTCTTCTTTTCCTCCCACTCACGGCTCCCTCTATGGGATTTATTCAGGTATTCTCATCACCATGCCCATTGTGAACTTACATCAGCCTGTACAGGGAAGTACTGAGAATGCAGTAGACCCCCTGTATAAATAGTTCTGTATCAAAGTATCAAAGAAAGACATTGTTGTAAAATCATTCAAGAAGTGTGGCATTAGTAATGCCTTGGATGGAACAGAAGACGACGTCTTATTTGACACCAGTGAGGAAGAAAGTGATGACAATGACTGCGTGGATCTGTCCTTCCTCATTTCTGATAGCAGCGAAGAAGAGGAATTCTTGGGGTTAGAATAAAAACATGACAGCCTTATTTTTGTTACTTTCACTGTTTGCTGGCTGTTTATGAGAGTAAAGATAGCTCTTAGTATGTTACATGGTTGACATAAAATATTTCTTAAACTGCTGTTAACTTTATACAGTTGATATAAAATATTTTACTACAGAATTTGGTTCATAATCTTTTTTTTCTAGATTTGCCTCCTTTAAAATTGGGTGCGTCTTATACGGCGAAAAATACGGTAGTTTCGGTTCCTCGAAACAAATCGGAAATGTGTTTCATGCTTTGCCGGTTTGTCATTTGACATTCTAAGGAATGCCCAGGAAATGTGGGAATCGTTCATACATTGGCAGTTACTTTTAGGCAATACACAATGCCTAGGCATTCTCAATTAATGCCGGATTTCAAACTTTGCCGGTAACAATAATAAATGATGATTATTGTGGCATTTATTTCCAGATTATTATTTCCGTCGCATTTACTGTTGTATTAGAATTGATTAAAAATCTTCTTATAAAAGAGTTTTTAAAAAAATTAAGATTTCTTTCTGTGTGTGGATACATTACTAATTTTATATCAGTGAAGGTTTTAACACCAACACTACTTTTTCTGTTGACTCCACTAAAAAGTACAAATTAAGTGTGTTTAACTATAATGAATATGTTGAGCTATAATGAACGATAATCTGAATCTAGACAGAAAGTATTGGCAATTCAACTATTGACACTCTATGTTTCATATTCCTCTCAATTGGATAACTTATAAGGTATTTCTTCCACCTTCTTGGCGTTCCTTCGTGATGTAGTGGTTCTGCACGCTGGGCAAGTATTCCAGAGGTCTGTGGTTCGATTTCCGGCGAAGACAATTCCTCTTTTCATCTTGCCTGCTTCAACAAAATACCTACTGTCTCTACAAACTATACTGGTTTTCGGAGAGTTTCTGGTTTTTTTTAGTTTAGAAATCGAGCATAAATTTGGTTTGCTTGGTCATTTAAACATGGCAAAACACATAGGAGCTATCTACCAAAGAGGAGGACTGTCTTCATACAGAACTTTTCTAAGGGAAAGTGACGCGTATTCCCGTCGCACGTGGCAACAATCATGATAACAATGCAGGCCAGTTTGTTCGTCTGGGTTGGACTTCAATATATATATTCAGCAGTCTTTAATCGCTTTAATTGTGGGACGGCTTAAATTAATGCTAGGTTATTAGATCCTGATTTACTATTTGATTTATAAATATTTAAACTATTATTATATTCGCATGCACAAAAAGCCGAGTTTTCTTAAAGCATTATTTTTTAAACTATTAAGCCGTAGCGCAAATGAGCGTTTAGTTGCATTTGCTATTACTGTATTCGCCTGGTGTTTTCGGAATCTAAGCTAAAGAGAGAACGATTATCATTTTGCCTTATTTACCCTGGGAAAAATTAAATTAGATTAAGTGATATTTTATTAGATTAAGTGATATTAGGTTTAATTTACAAGTTGACCTGTAAAAACAATGCTGCAACTCTAAATGTTTCTCTGAGTGGCTGACTTAAATAGTTGAGAATTAAGTAGACGATATTTAATCTTTCCTTATTCAATCGGAACCATAGTTCCAAATGTGTTGTAGTGCTCGATAATGCATCGATATTTACGTATTAGTGCAACCACCTTGTCACAATTCTAGGAATTTTTGCAGATGAACAGAGAAAAAAAAGTTTACCGGGTACAAGAATTGGTGGTTATCGCGACTTTTATAGAAAAATTACCAAACTATCGATATTTATTACACATTATCAATACATCAAACGAAAACAAACTTTTTTAAACTTTAAGGAAAGCAATTTAAAATGGAAATTTTAGATATTAAATAAGAATTACATCATGCATTAAAAAAATAAAACTCTTTCGTTACTAAATCTTTCTGAAACTTTTTTTTTTTTTTTTTTTTTTTTTTTTTGTGGTATTCTTTTCCGAAAGTACACGGCGATCGGCAACAGCGGCTGTCTAGGATAACGCATTTCTTCTTTGTTCCCTTTTGAAAATGTTTCAGTAAAATTACGTATTTCTGTACAAATTTTACGGCAGTTTCTTCCATTGCTGGCAATATCCACAAGCTCATATTTTAAAAATAAAACCAAAAATACCAATCTGTTTGTAAATACCGTTGTAACTTGGGATACAACAAAAACAAGGTATAAGAAAATGGCGACGTTGCTTTGACTGTAGGATTATTATGTGCATGTTTGAACAACTGTCATGAGCATGATTGCCAAATTCTAGTAGTCTAGTCTAGTATTCTGAAAATTTGGTGACCTCTGTTAAGGTGGTTTCGATAATATGTAAGTACCACTCGCTCAGCCAACTTCGCTCCTGAAAATAAGTACTCTGTGTACTCAGTCATCTCGCGTGTCTCTTGGCTATTATTTTCGCTTTCCAAAAGCTGAAGTATCCTTTCAAATAAAAGTTTCTTGTGGCATGGAACAGACAAAAGTAATGCGACACTCTTAAAGTTGTCTCCAAAACAGACGTTTACAAGCCTTTTCTTTGACTACCCACCGCATTTGTATCAAGACAGTTTGCTGGAATTTTTTTTAAAAAAGTAGTCCTAAATCCTCTATATATTATTAAAGAATGCACTGAAAACGTCATTTTAAGTTTCTGTTATATGTAATCTTAACGTTTGGTACCGGTTCTATTCTATATGCAAAGATTCATTGAAGCAAATGCAGTTGATATTTGGGAAGAGAGCTACTGTTTGATTCCTTATTTAATTACAATTTTGTGGACTGAAATGACACATAATTTACGATTCTCGATTTCAACACGCATATTAAACTTCTCCTCATGCACACCAACATTAGTTTATCTTTGTTCTAAATTGTAGATGGCTATTAAAATTAAATTCCAACCACATTTTTTTTAAATATAACGACCATTTTGCTTGTTGAATTTAATTTTGGCTAAACATCGGATTATGAGTTCAATTTCTAACATGTATGGGCATGGGAGCAGACATCGATTGTAAGGATTCGCTGTCGTTTATAGGTACCGTTCGTGAATAAACTGCTGACTAGAAATGCTCTATCTATTTTAGAGCAATAAATGGTGACTTTTTCTAAGATTTATGAATATGCCACGTTTTCCAGGAGTTCGAAAAATTTGGAACTTTGAAATTCCCTTTTCTTTTTACTTTTTGTTCCTTTTTCGTTTTATTTTTATTTATTTATTTACTTAATTAAAGGCATCATAGTAAAATTAACTAATGCGTTTAACAACCGATAAGGAAAATTTTACGAATTTTAATAGTGCTCACAATGGTTGAATATCATCTTTGACTAAGCGTGTCATGGTTAGAGAATCATTCTTCCGATTTTAAATTTGGAGACTTCTGGGAAAAGTTCGGAAGGGAGAATGCAATAGAAATTCATCAGTCCAGTCTCATACAATTACATCTGGCATATTAATTACCATTTTTTAACACTGGGTGTTTTGCATTTATTTTTTATTTCGACTTTTACAAAGCAAAAGATAATCATCTATAATATTTTAGGGAAATTAGAGTCTTTCTTCCTTCGATGTAACATGTTTGTCTTTTACTTGATATTATGAACTCATACCAACCATTATTTTATAATTATATCAAATTAATAAGAACACAACGCAAATAGACTTCACAGAGAATTTGATCGGTGGCGTAAAATTGCTACATCATTAACAGCAATGGCCTTTAAAAAGTACCTGAAAGTATTATCAAGAATAACTTCAATAATTCGGTATCAACTAAGAATAAATTAGTATCCTCTAGAGCTAGGCGTGAAATATCCATTAATAGCAAATTAGTGTTCTTTTTCGTGTTATTAAACTCTGTTATTTTGCTTATAATACTACTGAATACAGCTAGAAGACATAAATGAGAAAGAAATCTGCAAGACTTTTTAAAGGAATGATGATTAGCCGAAGTGGGAAAATATGACAGCCCCGCCTCTCAGCGAAAGGGAACTTAGAATCTTCCACTTAATGCACACAATTTGATCTTAAATATGAAATAAAAACAAAATCATTTCAATAATATAAGGGCAGTAACTAATTGCATTCGTAACGACGCACGGACAGGGCGTAAAACAAAATAAAAAGTAATGTGACAATGCTATCTACGGCGGTAAAAAAAGATGAGTTAGTTTCAATCAAAAGTGCTTTTCTTAAATTAAATATAATCCCGATGGTACTGAAATGAATAATTCACCTAATTAAAATCCACTGCATTTTATGACAGTGCATGGCAACGCGTTTTACCTCTTAAAACTTAGCAGTAAAGTCATTTTCAATGATTAGGTTGAGAGGTTTTAAAAACTAGAGTTTAAAAAGTATAGACTTACTCTGACTTAATGCTTGATTGAAAAGTAAGCCCACGAGGAGGAAGAGAAATGTTGCTCCTTTCATTGCTGCCATCTTCGATAATCTTCACCGACTTAATGGACACCAGTGGATCGCTGGCAATATATACAAAATTTCTTGAGACGCCTATCACGAAATGACTGCTCTGATTAAACACTCTTTTCCCTTTCAACCCTATTCTTGGATACGCTGCTTGACTCTTATCACTTAGTTTTCATTACTCAGTTGTTGTAAAATCGCAGCTCCAACCATGCATAATTCATTTTTTTTTCCACCAAAGTAAGAAGTGCCATCAGCGTCAGCTGTAAAAACAACATGCAAGATTTCAATTCTACAAGATATGCCATAATATGCAAAAAAGATACGAAACTGTAGGTCACGCATTGAGACTTCGGACTTAAGTCGTTATTAAATCGAAGATCTGGCGAAAATAATTAATGTAATAAAGAGTGAGAGGCTACAATATTCCTCGATATTTTAGTATTATAATTCTGAATAACTGCTACAAATAAAGATTTCTTCCATGAGAAAGTTCCTGTAATAGTCATATGCCAAAAATGCATCCCGATATGGCAAAGTGAAAATGAAAATGCGGTTAAAAAGAAATAATCTTACTAGATATTTCACGAGAACTGTTCAGAGAAATATGTTGTTAACATCATAAACTATTCAGTCACTTCTTCTCATAATCGATATTCATATAAATTTAAACAGGGTATTAAAAAAGAACACATGAACACTTATTATTATTATTATTTAAAATAATGTATAGAAGGATCAAAAAGAGAGATGCCTCTAAGAAAGTTATTTTAAGAAAAGCTGAGTAGTGTTCAGTGATCTTAGCCATTCGGCCGCTGGTGAGATCAGCCAAAAAATAGAGAGTTTTCAGAAAATATTTTCAATCAAATCATTAAATAATGGCATGTAGTTAAAGATTGTAAAAGCCATCACAATTGCTGTTCTTATAACAAATCTTTTTCCTTCAAATTGTTATTATTTATAATAAACGTGACACCCCAAGAAATATTATCCACTTTTAGCCCAAAGTGCGTTAGCCCAGAAGGGATATTAATTTTGTTTTGACATTTTGCGTTGGTTCACTTATAAATGTCGCTTCACTTTTCAAATTGTTGCCACCAAATATTATCGCCTTGTGTTATATTTAATAAAATTAAATAATGAAGAATCTGCATAAATCCATGCATGTTTCTCACATAGTGAAAAACAATGGTACCTAGAGCAATCATAATCTGAATAACGTAATCTTCCACAGAATACAGGCATCTGGAAGCCCTAATCTGAAATTTGAAATTTGTTTTATTATCCATTTCGGATTTTGTAATACTTCAACGAATTTTTGAATAAAAACTAAACGATTTCAAAGCGAGCAATGGCAACACTGTACTAAAAAAAAACATGTTTATCTCCAGCGCGCGATACTGTGAATCAGAAATTCTAAAGATATACTCATTTTAAAAGTATTTTGCAAAATTGCTGTTGAATTGAATTTTATAGTTTAAGTGCAAAGACTATAATATTTAATAAATAAAAGTAACACTCAAAACGTTAAAAAAAGTTACCTTTGGGCGTAATATAAAATCTGAAAACTCTCAGATTTTTTTTAACATTTATTACATTCGAAGATATTTTACTGTCATTTATTTTATTTGTTTTGGAGAATTTATTAGTTTTATTTTACAAGTTTCTTTTTTAAATGCAATTATTTGTACATTTAGGACGCAGTGAAATGTTGTAAGAAAATTACTCTTTAGTTCATATCAGACTGTTCTTTATATTTCTTTCTGTTGAACACGAGATAATCTCATCTTCATCATTATACATTTTTAATAAGAAAAGTGTATCAGATTTATAGTTTAAATGATTTCTTTCCTGAAGAAAAATAAGCCACATTTCTTTCATTTTCCATGAAATTTTTCAAGAGAGTTTTTTATTAAAAAATACACCCAATTCTGTTTTTACACGATAGATATAGACACAAATTGCAGGAGAAAATATCGCGGCAAAAGCATAACGGGCAGAAGCGTCGTGGAGAAAACTACGGAAGGCGAAAAACATTTGGGGAGAATAGAAAGAATGGAGAAAAGATTGCAGTTATAAAACATCACAGTATGAAAAACTATCATCAAAAATAAAAGAATCCAAAAAAACCATCGCAGTTTTAAAACATAGCGGTAAAAAATAAAAGATAGGGATTAAACATTACCTTTCCAAGATGATAATATCACAGATGACACTAAAAAGGTATGGAATCGTGAATTGGTTACTTTAAAGAAGAATCTTCATCTATTTACCCCCATAACACAAGACATCCTCAGGATATCCTATTTAAGTCGCAATCTCCCGGGAAGCAGTTAGGATATCCTGAGGATGTTGATTCTCAGATATCCTGAGGACTTCTTAAGTCAACATCCTGAGGATATCCTATTCAAGTCTCAATGTCCCGGGATATATGAAGATCTCCTCAGGATGTTGATTTTCAGATATCCTGAGGCCATCGTAAATCAACATCTTAAGGATGTCCTGTTCAAGTCGTAATGTCCCGGGATATATGAAGATCTCCTGAGGAATGTTGTTTCTCAGATATCTTCAGTACTTACTTTTTATGGAAGCTCATATCTGAAAATATTAAAGTAACCTTGTACCACACGCAAGTCATGTTATAAGAATCGAAATCTTACTCTATGGATTACCTATTCTGCATATGAAAATTTAATTGTTATGCTTACACTGGATTTCGTCTTGTATATGTTGGCTGTAAATATTAAGTAATAATATTTTCAAATTTTTGTTGTTGTTTCACAGTGCCTATTGATCAGAGAACTTTCTTACAAAGTTATAGGCACGTGTTTTCATCCGTTTTTGAGTTTCATATTGAAAGTGTGTTTACGATTAAATTCTAATTGCTACATAATATATTTTGTAAACATTATTTTAGATACTTTTCTAATATCTTTGAACACAAATATTATTTACGTTACAGGTTAACTCAGAAAATCTTTCACGAAGACATTTATCCTATGAACAGATGGGCATGATGTGCATCCATGCCTTATCTGGCATTCGAACTTGAGCCCTTCTGTACGGCAATCAGTCATTAATCACTTACCCGTCTCTGAGGCACTAATCAGAAATATCAAGTTATAAAAGTATTCTATTAAATTCATCGATAGTTCTTAGCATAGAAATAACTATACTTTGAAACTGCAAAAGAAAAAAATACTTTTTGATCTGTTACACTATTATATTAGTAATGAATGATGTTTAGTGCTGTGCAGTAATAAGTAACAATATTTTTTTTTTTTTAACAAACGAAATTTTAGTTTACAGACGCAGTTAAAAACTAGTCTGTACGAGGTTTAACTTGCTTTAATTTGAATTTATAAACAGAAGAATAATTTTATTGGGCTAAAAAATTCATTGCAGTTTCTTCGTTCATTTTCTGGTAAGTTCTTTAATAATGAGAACTAGTTTTCAAAGCGACTGAGGTAAGAAGTAACTTATTTTTTACCTCTCTGTAATAGGAAAATAAGGTTTGAGAATGGGAAGAACTAACATTAAGTTCTTACTCTCCTCAAACCTCACTTTGCTACCTCTTTAACCATACAAATATTCGGTCTTTGCTAAACAAAGCGCGAAAAAAAATATATCCAGCGCTCTGCAGTCTTATACGTTATGCCGACAATGCTACATGACTCCTCATAATTTAACAATAATTGCTGCTTTATTAATTTATTTGTAACATCCAGAAAATGCAGTAAACACGTTTCTTCAAGGTATATAACACAAAGTTAAATGTTGTTATGAAAACTCAAAATTAGATAACGGATTAAATAGATGTTCAAACTTTAAATTAAAATGATTTAATTTTTAAATTAAACGCGTTCTTTAAACTCAGCAGTTTTATTACTTTATTTTATACTATAAATAACAATTGAAGTTGAAAATCTTAAAGTTTTGATCATCATTATCATTGGTCGTAAAACTGCTTCTCAAATTTTCTTTGCTTTTGAGAAACCGAGCTCCGCTCAGAATGTAACACCTCTGAGCACTTTTTCTGTAGCCGATGCCCCAAGAAGATTTCTCTTTTGTTAACGTGGCAGATTTATGTGTCAGACCTTCCCTTCTTTGTATCCCCCTACAAGGGAAACATCCCTCACATCCCTTCCCCTTCACAACAAAGACGCAAAACGCCCCCAACGGTTTTAATTGCTCCGTAATAGTGATATCCTTGAAGAACCCCACAAAGTGGAAAGTACACGTACTTACTTTCTGATTTCCAGAATTCAGCTATTCTGCTAAACGTTAATAGCCGTCGTTCCAAATTCTCTTTCAGTTACGAACTGACTTGCTGACGCTTGCAAGCGTTACATTGAGAGAGTGTGAAAAGTAAGTTTCAAAATTTTTCCTTTATTCTACAAAAATGATCAGAACTAAAAAAAAATTATCTCAGATATCTAAAAGACGGATTTACAGCAGAATAAATCAACGTATATTATCGGATTCGTCAGAAGATGAAGTAGTATTTAATTATGAAAAATGCCTGTGTCGAATTTTCGCGCTAGCAAATATTCTTTAAGTTCCATTTCAAACTGTGATTCGAAATATGAACTTTTATGTCTCAAGAAGAACTGACTGATGACGATTACCAAAACGATTATCCCATTTTAAGGAATATTCCAAATATAGGACTAATAAATATTCCGTTAGACTTTATGTCCCTTGTGTGCTTAGGAGTAGTACAAAAAATGATTACTATTAGGATAGGCGGAGGCACCTTACAAGCACGATTACCACATAAAAATGTTGAACTAATTTTTTTTTTTTTTTTTTTTTTTTTTTTTTTTTTTTTAAATGACCAGTTTTTAAAGCCTTATGTACCAATTGAATTTGCAAGAAAACCAAGGAACCAACTCTAAAAGAATTGAAACACTGGAAAGCTACAGAATACCGTCAATTTTTACTGTACACTAGCCCACTTATTTTTTTTTTTTTTTATTTATTTTTTTTTTTAAATTTAACAAAAAGCTACATGA